ACGTTTCTTAATAGAGAGATTGGTTCTAGTCATGCGACAAGAATTTCCATGAAAAATCTTTGAACTGTAGACCTCGCTGTTCATCGAAATTTGCACAGGATCATCGTAAACTTTGAAAGCATAGTATATGAGACAAACTCCATCTTAAGTGCAACAATTTAATTGTAGTTCTTTCTTCTTTCCTTCCTCTACACTACATGTTTCGGCCTTAAATGGCCATCATCAGGTGTATATTCTTACATAGCTGCTACACTGCCCGTAGTTTAAAATTCAGAATACCAGTTTTTCCAATTGTATGTATGTATAAAATTTGTGTTAACCTACACACGTCAATTTGATTTCCAAAATTGGCACTTTTTTAAAAGTTCAATTCAAATTAAAATGTCTTTAAATTTTCCGTGCTTTTTCTTTTTCCAGATTTTAAAAATTAAAATTTCTCGGGGTTCTATAGTGCTGCAGCGGCCACTTCTTGTTTTATCGCTGTTCAGGTATTGTCTGTAATATGTAAATATTCCTATTACTCTCTTATATTACGTTATGTTATTCTTATATGTTTATACTGTTATTTGTACTTACTCTGTGTAGGCTCTCTGTGCGTATGCCGCTGCCTATCTTTAATACGTGTGCTGTCTGATGTATTGTGTGCTGTGTTTTATGTTGGTGAGTGTAGGAGGGGGAATGGGTAGGTATGTACAGTATGTACAGGTAGAGTACAGTTTTCACACCTTTCGTCCTTTACAGTACGGTCAAATAGCATTCAGTTCTAGTGGAGAACTGCAGGGCCCGCTCTCATATGTTGCCATATATGTTGCTGTCTCGTCATCAAAATACAGGGCAAAATTATGACACAAAGATAGGAAACAGGCGTTTTGTAAATGTGACACAGTTCAGATATTTGGGAACGACGATAACAAATCAAAACCTGATTCAGAAGGAAATTAAGAAGATATTAAACTCGGGTAATGCTTGCTACCATTCGGTCCAGAACCTTTTGTCTTCTCGCCTGCTTTCCAAAATCATAAAAAGTATNCGCAGCCCTTGGGAGGGACATAGACTGAGAGTGTTTGAGAACAGGGTGCTGAGGAGAATATTTGGATTGAAGAGAGATGAAGTGACGGGAGGTTGGAGAAAACTGCATAATGAGGAGCTTCATAACTTGTACTCTTCTCCAAGTATAATTAGAATGATCAAGTCGAGGAGTGTGAGATGGACAGGGCATGTAGCACGAATGGGAGAGAAGAGGAATGCATGTAGGATATTGGTGTGAAAGCCGGAAGGAAAGAGACCACTTGGAAGACCGAGGCGTAGGTGCGTGAACAATATTAAAATGGATCTTAGAGAGATAGGATGGGATGGGATGGATTGGATTGATCTGGCTCAGGATAGGTACCGGTGTGGAGGTCTCTTGTGAACACGGTAATGAACCTTCGAGTTCCATAAGATTCTGGGAAATTCTTGAATAGCTGCAGAATTGGTTTCTTCTCAAGAAGGGCTCCGCTCCATAAACAAGTAAGTAAGGGCCCGCTCTCATACGATGTTTCCGCATAATACAAGTATCTTTAATTCTCTCTCAGTACTCTGGGATCTGTTGGTAACACAAACTATACAGTAATATTTTCAAACGGGAATTTCAACCATGTCCTGCGTACAAAAATGTGGGATTCTTGGTTACCAAATCTTTTTTCAACTTTCGACCCAGCTAGTCACAACCTTGCCAGAGGGCGATAGTGAAAGCTGTGGAGTACCGTAAACAATTTTCCTAGCCAGTTTTACATGTGTTTGACCCAGGGACTGAGGTTTAACAGACAGCCTTATGTTTCTGTGTTACAGGATATGCTTTACACCACACCACAGTGTTATAACATGGACTGTGGCCTTTCCCACTATCTTCACATAATCTCATCTGTCAGTGCACCGGGTCAGTCTCACTGCATTTGTTCTGCTTCATGTAACTAAACTGGCGCGTGTGTATAATCGTTGTAATTGAAGTTATATCCCTAGGGGACCATTACTCCGAAACGTCACTACACAGATGGCTGCAGTCTGTAAATAGAAGCCTGCAACTTACCTTTTAATTAGTTTCAATTTGTCTGTGTACGTTTTATTTGCTGTTTTTAACGACTTCTTCAGTATCGAGACTCTATAGCGTAGGGTAAGTGATGAATGTTGAATTGGAAAGGATTTAGAAGGAAGCGGTCATAGCCTAAACGAGGTACTAGCCAGGCATTTTGCTGCAGGGATTCAGGGTAACCATGAAGACGTTCGGCCATAATAGCCGGTGTCGTGGCCGAGATTCAAACCGATTACGCTCCCACGAATAGGGAGCTTCTCCTCTAGATCAGGCTATTCGGTTTCTGTAATCGTGTACACGTTTCACAGGTACAACTATTCTAACTGAAGTTGGTTATTTAAAGAACAAGGGGGTTTCTGTCGATACATATCGTTTGAAACAACGTACTACTGAACCCGTGCTGTTTTCCCTGCGATACGTGTGTGATGACACACTGTTTATGTAACGCGTTCATTCTTTTTACGTTCAGAGACACAAAATGAAATTCACATAGAGAAGATACCAAATCCGAGAAGGAAGTATAAGGCACAGCCAATACTGTTGCCGCGAGGGGTGGAGGGGGGCATGTGTAAGTCATCTATTACAAGGCCTTACAGGGTTACCTTCTGTCCTTCGATTCGCTGGAGTTGGCATTGACCTCCCGTTTGGTTAATGTCTTGGAATTTGTTTCTGACTTGGTTAACGCTGTGTTTGGACCTAAGTTTCATAATTTTGTCATCATTGTCATCAGGACTATCATCAGCAAATTACTTAGACGAAACACGCTCAGAATATGCCCCTGTAGCGAACGTTACTGTTGACAGTGCATTTATTTGCTATAGGTGTTTCAGGCTATATAGCGTCGAATGGTAGGACGATAAACTGATATTGTGACCTAATTAAAGTTACTGTTGGGGACTAATAAATGTGGCCATGGGTACATTAATGACTGGGATCGAATGGCTGGGTATTCAGTACTTGTTTACCTGCCCTTCTCCCTCGCAAGATATACGATACGCCTTAAACACGGTCACATACCACACCATAACAGTACTATGGAGGAAATTGCTCCAGACACCCCTCACGATACTTCCGGCCGAGATTCGAAATGGGCACCTCCCACATAGAAATCGGAAGCGTTACTGCTCGAGTGAACATGCTCCATGTTGTTGGCGATGCCGAAGATCGGGAATTCAGTGCAGTCAGCCATTACGAATAGTAGGCTTACTGTGGAGCTGAGTCCCTCTTGAGAAGCCGCTACTCGCTCAACATTTCGTGGAACCCGAAGGTTCATTACTGTGTTCACAAGAACCATCCACTTGTCCGTATCCTGAGCCAGATAAATCCAGTCGGTAGCACCCCGAGCTGTGTCTCTGAGATCTGTCTTAATAATATTTTCCAACCAATGTTTAGGTCTTACTAGTAGTCTCTTTCCTTCTGGCGTTTTCACAAAAATCTTGCATGCATTATTCTTTCCCGTGAATTGTATATTCCCTGCCCATCTCATCCTCCTTGACTAGATCATTCTCAATAATGTTATATTTTAGCGTCCTGTTGCACTGATTTAAGTCCATAACACACATACCCAGCAGGCCCAGCAGTATAACACACGCAGTCACAGGAGCAAGACACAACACAAAGCACAATACACACATGGAAGTAGAGAGAGTGCTCCGACAGAAGAGGATAGGTGTGACTCGCGTAGTGAGATACGACATAGGGATGAAAAATACTGAACAATTTTAATATTTTTAACATTTAATATTTATCAATATATATGATAAATATATATTTTAGTTATTTTAACATGAAGACGGCAAGGCATGCAGTGAACTAGTTTAACGTAAATCGAATAAGCATGGCACTTTTGTGCCGAAACATGTAGTGCGAGAGAGAGGAGTGAGATAGATGAGTGTATGCACTGGAAGACGGTTGAAATAAATCATAGATCATTCTCATTATACTTGGCGAAGGATACAATTTATGAAGCTCCTCATTATGCAGTTTTCTCCATCCTCTTATTATTCCATCCCTCTTCAGCCCAAACTTTCTCCCCAGCGCCCTGTTCAGAAATACCGTCCTCCCTTAATGTCAGAAACCAAGTTTCACACCCATACAAAACCACAGGGAAAAATGAAGTTTTGTATTGTTTCATGTTTACATTTTTAGACAGCAGACGAGAAGGCAGAAGGTTCTGAACTGAATACTAGGGTATAACAACATATAATTAATTGGCCCTATAAGCTTGCAATGCCGGTCACGGTAGCCGAGTGGTCTAAGGCATGTACTGTCTTCGCTCGCTTGGAAACCGGGATCGTGGTTTCGAATCCCAGTCAGGGCATGGATGTTTAGTTTGTGTGTTTGTGTACAGGTAGAGGCCTTGCAACGAGCTGATCGCCCCCCAAGGGTCCTAAAAAATGTGTAAGATCGAGAAAATCCGAAGTGAACGGAGAAGTTCATGGAAGTAGGCCTAGGCCCACTGGGGCTGTAGTGCCAAAGGGGAACGAAAAGAAAACTTGCAGTGGAGTCTGCCCTTATCAAGTCTGAGGTTTCATAATTTTACTTAGGATTTTAGTTTCTGCGCTGTCTTCGTAGTGCAGTGCAGTTCTCGCGATTAAATTGTTAACGCGTGATGCATTCGTTAGAGAGACACTCGCTTGTAGGGTACATTCAGTGTACACCATATTGAATTATTATTTGACTATCGTATGTAGTCTGTTTCTTGTACCTTTGCTGGATTTATGGCAAATTTGGGTGCCGTATGTGAGTAAGATATTTATATTTTGAGAATACACGGAGATGAGGCCGTTTATTTCCTCGCGTGTGCGGTTAAAGTCGTTAATATAGAGTGGAGTATGGATGTTTCTGAATGGCTGGAACTTTCTGTGTATATATAGCCCATGTTCTATTTGGAGGCATCTTGATTGATACAGTGTGTTTGTTAATGCAGGTGCCGAAGTCACCTCGTCATTCCCTCCTAATAGCGGCGCTGTCATCGTTCCGTCGTCACAACAGCAACAACAGACGCCGCCGCAGCCGTCTGTACCACTGCTGAGTTCCCCGCCCGCCCCCACTACAGGTAGGCCTCTGTCGTGCAAACACGTTGAACTAATGCGTACAGTTGTGGACTGTAAACTTGACAGTTGCTGGGTGAAGGAGGAAGGAATGGAAAGAGACCTGCCTGCTTTGTAGTTGTGCATTCCTTGCAGGTCTCAGGTTCGGCGTCGCCAGCTGTTTGTGGGAGGTCAGTAACATTTTTGGAATTTACCATTATGTGAATCCCCCCCTCCCCTCCGTTTATTGGATGCAGAAGAAGAAAGGAAATAAAGTAAAAAAAAGTAAAGGTATCCCTGTAACAGGCCGTGGAGGCCCGTAGGGTTGTGAGATGTTGAGGTTCCCACATTTTCTATACAATCGGTTCGTAGATGGCGGTGAGGTTGTCAGCCCTACGCACCGGCCGCCCTTCACCCCCCAAGAATATATCAAAAATATTCCTGGTTCTCATTTCTGTTAGAGGCTGAGTCGACCCCAGGGCCATATTGCGGCTGGATGGATTAGGTCAATTGAAAAAAAGATATCCAGTGACCTCATCGGGACTTGAACCCGCGACCTTCCTGATTGTAGCATAGTGCCTCAACCAACTACGCTACCGCGTGCCCCCAGAAGAAAGAAAGCGCCAAGAAAAATGAAATACTTCTACGTCTTTATGTGAAATCATATAGTATACCAATTTACACAGAACGTGCCGAGAGCGAAGCGGAACCCAGAACCTCTGCATCAGTTAGGGCGCGGAACTGTACTTCGGTCCACTCGCGTTCAGAACATCTCTGTTTGCTTACAGCTAGCAATTACACCAATTACTTAACGATTCAATAGATGTATTACTGATAATTATTTATTAATACTGCGATTTTAGGATGCTCATTAAAGAGAGAAAAAAATTTGTCCCTTTCAACGAGATATTCGGCTTCGGGAATGTGAATATGTCACACACAGCCATATCTGGGTAATATGGTCGATTTTATATACTAGTATTCGTGTCCAGAATCGCTTTACCGATACTGCTGTATTGGTAGATGCATGGTCGTAATGCTAGAAGACCCGTCTTACTGGCAAAGCTTTTTGACAAATATGTTTCTGCAAACGTTCAAAATGTTTGATTGAAACTCTGTTTTGCAGAATCAAATTTGTAGTGGATAATTCATTTTGTATCACTAAAGCCGTTTAGCGCCGGTCATGGTAGCCGAGCGGTCTAAGGCGTGCACTGTCTTCGCTCGCTCGGAAGCCAGGATCGTGGGTTCGGATCCCACTCAGGGCATGGATGTTTGTGTGCGTTTTTCTGTGTTTGTGTATAGGTAGACGAGCTGATCACTCGCCCAATGAGTCGTACCGTATGTGTAAGATCTAGTAAACCGAAGTGAAACGGAGAATTTCATGGAGGTACGCCCAGGCCCAAATTGGGGCTGTAGCGCCACAGGAAAAAAAAAAGGCGTTTAGCATCGTTATGACGTTTCAGTTTTACTTTCGGTTGCAGAGACTCTGGTTAAAGGCCGTACTTGAAGTTCCTAATTTCATCTGAGATCACTGTTTTTTGATGTTTTCTGAAAGGCCTGAGAAATTTTTCTTTTCCTCAGTTTGACTCGCTTACGAGATTTTTCATTGCCATTTTAACATATGCTTTTCTTCATGTTCATATCTCTGTTGAAAGTCAGTCTTACATTTTATGTAGGCCTTTTGCTGTCTTCACCCGCCTCTGTGATCTAGTGGTCAGAGTTCCTGCCTACAAATCCAGAGGTCCCTGATTCGATCCCCAGCGTTACCAGTTTTTCTGAGAAGTAGTGGGTCTGGAACGGGGTAAACTCAGCCTCGTGAGGATAATTGAGGAGCTATTTGAAGGAAATAGCGACTCCGGTCTAGAAAACCGAGATTAACGGCCGTGGGGATCCGTTGCGCTGACCACGCGACACCCTCTATCCTCTAAATTTGGCACTAACTTCGTCGACAAGCGGCGTCCGCTCGGTCGGTATAGTTCGCTTTCGGTATACAGTCCACGGATATTTTTTTCTATTGTCTTCAGAACAGCTGGCCAAAACTGCCGTCTAGATTACTCACCGTCGCTAACATCTTCCCTTCATTTATGAGCTTCCTTAATTCATAAAGTAGGCTGCTCTATAGCTCAAACGGTTAGTCGCTGGCTTCCCACCGCGGCGGCCAGAANGCATCCTTTTCCAGTTGGCTGACAGGTATGATGTCAGATAAACAAATGAAGTGTTCCTTCGATAATGTCCTTACTAGAGCTACGAAATACACTGATTTCAGACAACTTTTTGAAACAGAGTTGCACGTAGTCAAATGGTTGAAAACGCTCCGTTTCTCCAGCTATGCCAGTTGTTTCACAGATAGTCTTCTTTTGTGTTAGTCAGGTCTCGTATATGTGGACTAGCATAGAAACGTTCGTAGTTTGTATGACGACCTTAAAATATGAAGAGCAGAACACACATTTTCTGAAGACGATAGAATGAGAACTCTCTTTGAATATAGGTAGAGAGAATATGTGAGGATGTCTACATCTCATTTCCACTGAGAGACGGCAAAGAAGCCAGTTCACATTTGTACACGAGAATATTCTAAGCGTGGCCTCTCGAACGCTCGCGCTACGTGACCCGCACGCTATTTCTTTGTCACGCTACATGAGTTTTCTGTCCTTAAACCCCTTCATTAAATTTTCCGCAATATTCCTCACTTTCCTTGAATCCGCAGTTATGCTTCAGTATTCAAAGTTTCTCTGTCGGTGCCTTCGAGAGAGTGCTGTATCAAACTGTTCAAGCAACAACAGTTCGCAAGACTGTCACAGTGGATGGCCTTTATTCTTTACTGTCATGGATCCGAAATTTACTGCATGGAGTTGCCACGTTTGATGTTTTATTTTTACTTCATTTAACGACAATTTTTGAGCAACATGGGTTGTAATCACCGAATGAGATGATAATTAAGCTATAAAAGTTTATAACGATGTTACATCAGTACAAATACTCGTATTATGTTTCTGGACATTATCCATCGTCCTATTTTTATCTAAAAACACCTCCCTGTTTATATTTCAAAACGCGACGTTTCGAGGACTGGGTTCTGTCTCTGTGTTCAGGTAAAACCTACTCAGTTGTGTCCAATCAGTAGAGCTACTTCCTGTGCGTTTTGAAATAGAAAAAGGACTGTGTTTAAGAGAAGAACAGGACGATGGGTAAATCCCAGAAACGTAATATTTGTACGAATGAGATGGTGGTTGCAAAGATTTGGTAGAGTCGGTCGTGGGCTCTTTTTATGTAGGCCTACAGTTTCTGCACTAGCCTGAAATAATGAAAAAAAAACAGCCAACCTCAGGGCAGAAAATCTTATCCGGAACTTCCTGAAAACGTGGCAGGACTGTTTCCCATTTCATCGTCATGTTCGGTATAAGATCTTCAGGGCATGATTCTTAATATAGGCGTGATACTGCCTTTTCAAAAACGTTGGAGGCATGCAGCCAAATAAGAATGTAGCATTGTATGACACAAACTCCGTCCTAAGTGTAACAATTTATTGTAGTTCTTTTGTCTTCTTTTCTTCTACACTACATGTTTCGGCCGTAAATGGCCATCATCAGGTGTATACTCTCACGTAGCTGTTACACTGCACGTAGTTTAAAATTTAAAAACACCAGCTTTCTTAATTGTTGATTTCTCCGTTGTTAATAGGTCCCGATATATCAGAATCCCCTTGCTGATATTTGTCAGATATGTATAAAATCTTTGTTAATTTCCATACTTCAATTTGATTTTTGAATTTTGGTATTTTTAAAATCTTCAATTTATATTTAAAAATTTTAAAAATTTATTGTTTTTATTCGTCGATAATAAATTATTTTACTTTAATTTCTTACCATCGTATGAAACTGACTTCACTGAGGCCGATATCTTCCTACGGGTGTAAAAAATAAGTGCAAAAGTAAAGGTTTCCCTTTAACAGACCGTGAAGATCCATAGGGTTGTGAGATGCTGAGGCTCCCACATTTTCTAGACAATCGGTTCATAGATGGCGGTGAGGTTGTCAGCCTTACGCGCCGGCCGCCCTGTACCCCCAGGAATATTCCTGGTACTCAAATCTGTTAGAGGCTGAGTCGACCCCAGGGCCATAATGCGGCTGGAAGGATTAGGTCAATTGGAAAAAATCCACCAACATCGGGATTCGATCCGGCGACCTTTCGTCTTATAGCATAGTGCCTCACGCTGCCGCATGCCCCCCCCCCACAGATGTAACCCTTCTTAAATTCAAAAACGAAATAGAAATACATGTTCACTTTTGCGCACATTAAATTCCAGAAACTTAGTAGCGCCCAGACCACAAAGGGAAATAAGTAGGGTCTAATGTTAAAGTGCAGTCAGTATACGCATTATTTGGATGTGTGAAGGTGTTCATTCGCTATACAATCGTCCAAGTTTTCAAAGTACGTATATACAGTAAGCTCTTGCATATTGGCGTCACTGAAGACCTTAGCCGAGCTAAGCAAGTGTTTACAGGCATTGTTAACATAAAGGTCACTATGTGCTCCATGCTGCCATATAACAATGCAGTGAATATAACCACGCCCTTTGCGTTACTGCTTCAAAAATTTTATTTATTTTCCTTTAGAATTATGTTACTTCCCACATATCTCGACCTCACTTAAAGCAACAGCTAATTGTCTTTTCCGACTCTTGTTTTAAATAATCGAGGATATACACGGTCATCGAAAAAGATATCCGGGATTCCAAAATGTCGTATATTTTTAAATGCAGAATAAGTCTTGGTTTTTTTTGTTTTGTTTTAGGCTCATGTATCTGTATGCGCTCTTATTTTGGCTATTATTATTATTGATAATAATAATAAAAATGTCTCGTAGTGTCATGTTGTGTTGTGTTCATGTATTTGTATACACTCTTATGTTGGCCGTTACTATTAGAATTGTTATATCGTAATGCCATGTTGTGTTGTGTTCATGTATTTGTATACGCTCTTATGTTGGCCGTTACTGTTAGAAATGTTATATCGTAATGTCATGTT